CGCGCGCCAACCGCGCCCCTGCGTTACGTCGCCGAACGCCAATGCGTCCCAGTCGATGTCCGCGACTCGCCCGCCAATCGAACTCCCGCGCACATCGTCCTGTTCCGTCCACCCGCGCGCATCATGGGCCGATGTGCGCCATTCGCCCATGAGCCGATCGCCATCGCCCTTTTCGTCGGCGATCGCCACCGTTGGTTCGGGCCATGGATCCCAACCTTTCAACCTTTCACAATCCTCCGCTGGTATCCACCATCTTGTCAACCCATCGCAATCCTCGTCTTCTAGCCTCCTTCTTTTGAGCTCGTCTCTTCCTTGTACAAGGCTTGCACCAACAACATGAGTCCTTAGTCATCGCCTTGCGTTTCCTTCGAGCCCTTTTGGTCTTGCGCTTCTTAGGCTTAAGCTTGGATTGCGGACCACACCCTTTTGGCCAATCTCGTACGCATGATGGCCGGTAAATTGGACTTGTCGGCTCCTCCAGCATGTTTTCCAGCCATATGTCATGGCCATCGTCCTCTTCCTCGTCGGACTCACTAGGGTTGATGACCACTTCCGTATCACAGGGCAGCAGCGCGCGGGCGCGGGGCAGCAGGGCAGCGCGCGCGGGCAGTGTGCCAAGGGCGGCTTGGGGTTACTTGGAGTGCAAGAAAAGTTCAAGATCCCTAGTTATTTAGTTTCCTTAATGCTCTATGATATCTAGATTGGTTAGGATACTTAATATTTTATTGCTTTATTAATTCTCTAGGTAGATTAGGACTAGATATAATTTGTGCCTATATAAAGACCCCTTCCCCCATGTTATTTTTAATCATCCATGAAGTCAATATAAATCTTGAACTTTGTTCTTCCAACTTTGCTTTAATCTTTTCACCAGAATACTATTGCAATTTTATCATTTCAATAGGCGCGGTTGTGGCTAGAGAAACACTATCGGCGATTCAAGGCGCGGGTTAGCGGCTTATCGGCAGTCGAAACACACGATCCTCATCAGCGCCGCCTTGCGTTGCACGCGTCTGATGCGGAAGTGGCTTTCGAAGCCCGAGCACGCCGAGAGCGAATGGTCGAGACAATCCGAGAAGGCCGAGAAAGGGGCCAAAAGCACGCATGCATGGCCTAAG